GTTATATTCTGTATCTTGTGAAAGAGTGAAAGAACTCATCAGACCTTATCAATGTGCTTACAGACCTGATATAATACTCTACAGAGAAAATATTTAACAAGAGAATGGAAGAAAAGAGTATTTGACGATGGCAACGTCTACTGAATTGACATCAGAAGTTTATGCGCAAAGAGTTTTGATACTGTTCTCTCTGTAAGATCGACTGCGAGTACCGGCGACGAGACTATAGACGACATTGGTCCGAGGTGTGTTCAAAAAATATCACGAATTTTGTGTGTATTTATGTACCAATGAAAGCTCGTAGAATAAAATTTAAACTTTGGAAGCAAGATCAGTCACAAAGGGATCTGGTTTCGCATAAAAACTGGTTTGGATACCAAACCGCGTAAAGAAGAAATGTCAGACTTCCTAAGCGCAGTATTCACCAAACTGAGCGTCTTTCTTCATCTCTCTGTCGCTCTCTCCTTCAGCGCTCAGCACGCCGCACTGCTTAGTTTGCAAGGCAGGAGTTAAATTATTAATTAAAACTTTTAATATTCACGACAAATTGACGTTGCCAGCTGAGTAACGCCCCAACATGAGACGAGCTCCCGCTGATGGCAGTCAAGCATTTTTCATTAAAGAAGCAAGACAGTTCTTAATATGTAAAGTTGCAAGGTTGCAGGAAAATGGCAATAACGCTGTTACTGTCAACATCGGGCCAAAATTATTCTTACCGTTTGTTTTTGTTTTTGTTATTGGCATTCATTAATTATTTGAAAAGTATTTTAGCATTTTTTGCCATTTTCTTTTTTACAGTTGATTGATTTGTCTTTCGCTCAGCGCTCTCTTGCTAGCAAACGTTATAACTTTCGCAGTGACACATAGCAGGCATACCGCTGGTGCATGCAACATTCCCGTTGCTTGATGAGTGTGCACGCGTTTACAAATTTTTGTTCTTGCTGTTGTAGCAACATCAAATTGTCACACCCATTTTTGGCATGCAACAGGCGGGTTGTCATGCTGATAGCTGCCGTCAGCGCTGCTGTTGCTGCTGCGACTACTGTGCAAACTTCCAGCAACCTAGCGAGGCTACTGTGCAGCGATGTTGCATGATTGCCACTTGTTGAGTTTTTGTTGTTCGCCGCTTACAACATTCGCGCACGCGTAGCGCATCAAATGGTTTATTTACACAGCTCAGCAGCTGCAGGTGTACTCCGTACGTATGTCCAGTAGCCGTGAACGTTATGCTGCGCGCTGGGAAGCTGAGTTGAGCGATGCTGCTACATCATGTTGCATTGATGGCAAATTCGCATGCAAACTAACAAGTGCTGCCGCAACTGTTCAAAATTATTAATAATGCCATAATTTCGGGCGCACCGCGCTAATGAATCGAGCGAGCGAGTGAAGAGGGAGTGAAATGCGAGAGACTGGTGCTGGAGTTCTTCACCAGCTCAGCAGTCTCGCTCATTCGATCACTTCATCAAGCAACCTGCCTGATTTTGGCCGGTTTTGCTGGCAACATAGCAAACTTGCCACAGTTGCAACCACAGCCGTTAATGATTTCTTGATACGCCACAGTAAAGTCGCATTTTGCGCGAATTTTTTGTTACTTCGCTTCGTGTTTAGTTTTTATCGTAAAAAGTGGGCGTTGCACATGTTTTTTCATTCATGTTGCAACACTAAACAACATTAGAAGCACATTATCTCTTGTACAGCATGCGGGAAACCAATCAAGCCGCATCGCCGCCGAGACAGCTGTCCGCTTTCAATTATTTCATTTTCCTCCACGACTTCTGGCCTTCGCGCAGTAGCCTCGCAAGATGCCGCCTTGCCCGACACCCAAATGAATACAAACAGCATTCACTCACGCACATCGCGCGTACGGGCGTGCGGGCGCTGCTGCCGGAGACGTGCACTGTTGTACAAATCTGTATTGCTCGCGGTTTAATGCGCAGGCGCACGCTTGCTCATTGGCTTCGTAGTGCGCTGACTACTTACGGTACGACTGGCGTGAGTGAATTGTGGAAATTATTGTAAGACACATATTTTTTTCTTCGTTATTAGCACAACAATAGCAACAACGCTATAGACAATAGTTGCAGCTAAGAATCAACTTTGCTTTGTGTGATATTGATGCACTTGTTATACAGTGGTGCAACTGACGATTATCGGCAGATAATTTTTTAAAATGTTGCTCAAGACTTGATGAACAGATTATAGTGGAACTGGAGCCACTTACCAAGAACCTTCTGGTGTCTGCCGATATCGTGGACTCTTTGATTTTGAATGTTGTGATCTACAAGCTTTAAGTGCATCGAGAAGTTATTTTGTTTTGGATCTCAGCAGCAAAATCATACTAAGGCAGCAGGTAATCTCAAGATTTAATTCGTCGAATAAATGACATCGTCCCATTGATTCCTTTTTCTCTCTGTTTGGCGCCAATTGGAGATACCAAGTAGAGCCAGGTCCTTTTCTACCTGATCTTTCCAACGGATTAGATGCTTCTCTCTCTGCTTTCACCGGCGGGTACTGCATCGAAAACTTTCGAAGCTGGAGTATTCGTATCCATTCGGACCACATGACCTAGCCAGCGGAGCCTCTGCTTCTTGATTCGCTGAACTGTTGTAACTCGTACAGCTCAACGTTCCATCGTCTGCGATATTCGCCATTGCCAGTGCCTAAAGGACCATAAATCTTACGCAAAGCCTTTCTCTCCGCCCCATATAGCAGGACAGGAACGATGATGTACTTGTAGATTTTGGTTGTCGTTCGTCGGAAGAGGACTTTACTTTTCAATTGCCTACTCGAACGGTTTGGAAATGTTATTCCCGTTCCTGATAGAGCTTTTCATTTTGTTTAAGGTCAGTTTACACAGATGTATAATATAAGTTATGCGGGAATATCAAATTCAAGCTTAGCAGCGTAGAGGCAAAACCGTCTCGTACTCTCGACGGCCGCTTAAATTCGACGTGGAGGTGGTGGGTGTAGATGCTCTTTTCAAGGGTCTTTTTCACGATTTGGGGCATGTGAATATCAAGTTAATGGTTGACTTACCAGGTCTGAGGCCACTTTAATAAGGTTTGTTGAAAGAGGGCTATAGTTTCTCACACAATACGCTTGATAGGACCTTATAGGCTTATCCCACGGTACATGGCGCGGCCTGCGGGGTTTCCTTTTTCATGGATTGGTCAGAGCATATTTAAATTCCAATCATCGGGAATGCTTTCGTCCGACCATATTCTGCAAAGTAGCTGATGGATGCGTATTGTCAATTCCGTCAGCTTCAGCCGCTTTGTTGTTCTCTCGGCGCTCGGAAAATAATAAATTGGCTTGGACGATTGTGACAGTGAAAGTCAACGAAGAAATGCAGAATTTTGTATTTCATTAATGTGAAATTTGGCCACAGTACAAAAATAATCAATAGAGTATTTGCTGCAAGCACTTGTTGCACTTGACTACCTGTGCAACATTATGCACTTAGTATGTTGTCGTTTTGTTTTTTCTTCTTTTATTTACAGCAATCATGTCAGCCGCGCACGGTTTCTGTTCTTACAGCGCCTAATAAGTCCAAGTCGCGTACGCAGTGCTGCGATCGCCAAACACCGCCAATAGCAACAAATACAGCATCAGTGCCAGCACCGATAAGCGATCGCGCATCTAAGCACCGTTAGAGAATATTGAAAAAAGGCGCGTAGTGGAAATTGCATTCACAGCCGCCGCGGGAGGAGTTGCGAGGCCGCCAGAGCATGGAATTGATGGATCAATGCTACCAATCTGTGCAGCGCGGCAATAGTGACTTGGACTACCGGCCATTAAGTGAACTCTATTTGTTTTGTTGTTGTTATTTCTTGCCGCTTTTTTTTTTGTTTTTGCAACAGCAGCAACATGGCAATTTTCAGTTGCAAGCGATAGAAATCGATCATCCTCAGCCTGTCAGCTGCGAAGCAACTGGTGAACATTCAAGGCATTCAAGGTATTCAACAGCGTCATTATCGACATTGCCGCAGCGTTATTATCGTCGGCCGAGCTGCACTTGGAAAGCCAGAGATTGAGCTGTGCGATAGGCCAAACACTGTGACGGTAAATAGACACTCAGTGGCCGTTGGCTACAAGTGGAAGACACTTCAACTGCAACTGGCGGTCAATACGCACACATACATGCGTGCGCCCATATGTAGGTATGCATGTATGTGCGTTGTAGGTTTTTGTACGTGTCGGGCCATAAGTATAATGATGCCACTCGCAAGATTACAACATTCCACTAATGACCCAGTTTGGCCGCGTCTGGGGCCATTGAGGAAACAACAAAATCAGCGACCAACTGCCGCAATGAGTTGCCGTAGCTGTGACGCGCGGATGGACGCCGGCAATGTTTCAGCGGAAATCTGCGTTAGGCGGAAAGTTGCTTTTGACATCAATGATGGCATGAGAATCATCGATAAGAATCTCTCAGCAGCGTCGATGAAAATAATTTCATTATCTATCACAATGTGAGAAACTCACGTATCACCTTGTTTCGCGCACCGAATTGCTTTAGATAGGAGATGACGCCAATGGGCGTACTTTGTTGCACTTATGTCCAGGATAATTACCAACTGGGCAGAGCTAAAGTGAATAAAATTATTATCATACACATGCACACTACTTAAGTTATTAGAAGCAAACTAGAGCGGAACTAGTGGTACCGGATTTTCATGGGACACCCCACACAGCTCGTGCAGAATATTGATGAGGGGAGAAGTCGTTTATTCAACTGTAACATCTTTAGACATCAAATCGATGCGTTGAGTCAAAAAATTTTCACAAAATATTAATAAAGCTTAGACGTCCGGCTTATGCAATATTAAGGGGCGAACTTAGGCTTCTCCTTCGTATTTGCTTAAATATTCGTTTTCCGGATCTCTGAGCTATCCATCCCATAGGTAAATAAACCTGCACGATTTTCAAAGTGAGCTTCCGATCTTAGGTGTAGCTTTATTTTTGTCAAATATTATTCTTCTACCCAATCGAAAACAGTTTGAATTTTCTGTTTTCTAAGATTTGAAGTAGAGGTCAGTCTAAAATGTCATTTCAGCTCAAGGTATTCGGACAGATATCTCAAGAATATTATTGAAACTTTCTTCACATTATATATATAATATACCACAAAAGGTGTGTCGCTTTTAAGAGAAACAGAGGAAGGTTTAATACTTCGAAACCTGAAGGAGGTTGTGAAACGGAATCAATGGAGAAGCCGATCTTGTCAAAACTCAGAAATGTCAGCTACGATGGCGGCAATTGGGGAGATGACTCTGGGTTATTTAAGCAAAGAATACAGCTTTCGGAGCTTCCCTGCCTTAACGGCTTTCACCGAATCTGAAAATCATCAAAATCTTAAATCATTGAGTCACAGATGCAAAAGACTTGGCGCAAGATTTCTTAGGAGATCATATACGATGGAAGACTTTCCTAGCAGAGAGAGTAGCAACGAGGTCAAAGAACCCCCGGGGAAAGTAGATAAGACAAAGATGGTAATCCTTAGCTTTATGCTGCACTCAGCGGATGGGCCCAAAATGGCAACAAACCGAGACAGATCAACCGAGTTCGAGACCTCAGGGAAGTGGCAAACAGGCCGTCGTGATGGACTTACAGCGGTATATTATAAAGAGCTTCAATGTCGACCGACGGTCAGAGTCGCGACCCTCGTAAAGTCCGTAGGGCCTGATCAAATACCTAAAGTTATCCTCCATTCCTTCAACAATTTTCCACCGTAGTAAAGAAGTAGACAATTACCAAGGCTATGCATGAAGCAGTGCTGACGATGAAAAGAAAGAGAACTGAATTTGGCTTCCACACGGCCAAGGGCAAGGTCTACAATTGGTCGAGGACATGAAACCAGAGGAGACCAACAGTGAGATACTGAAGCAATAGAAGAATGAAGATCCCTTAACGAGAAGCTATGGGTGACCGTACAAAAGATCTATGGACTGAACATGAGAAACGATAGAGAATGGTCGCAAATCATCAAATGCTTTGGCTAATAGGATACTCAGTGATATCACCATGGGTCTGTTTATTGTTCTAAGTAAGCTGAAGTGACCCAGCCAATACCATATCTTGGCTAACTTCAAAAAAAAACGCATTCTCCTTAATCATGTTTGAGGTGGACAGTCAACTTTGATATTTGAATGTTTGATTGTTAAAGCTGATCAGAGATCTCATATCTAATATAGGTGATCAAGAGATTATCATAAGACTTACACTTTCAATAACTTTTTATGGACGCAAAAAAGCTTAAAAATATATTTTAAATTTTCAGGGTTGGATAAGAAACTCTATGGACGCCTAAATTATCTCCGTTGGATGAGTAAACACTTGCTTCGAGTTATTCCTCTAATGAGTCTACTAGAACCCATGGGACCTTTGTAAGCCGATTAAAAATATACCAATGTCAAACCGAGCGAAGCACTTGAATTATTCTCATTACTTCCAACATATGAATCCTGTCATATTAGAAAAAAATGTACCCAAAGCTGCGTAATTTTCAAAGCAAAAGTTTAAACAAGATTTCCGGCTCATCCGTGCATCAATTTTCTATGATTGCTTATGCTTGAGTTCAACCAAAACCGAATAAAAGACTCATATGTAAAACACACCACACCTACGACACATATCATCTTCAAAAGTATGTATCAATGGATGTACTTATATATTATACATACATCTTAAAGTATGTTAAAATTCAACCACAGCACTTTGCAAATACAAAATCCTCCTGCTGACCTACTTAGCCGTGCGCCAGAGCAAAAACACTCCAACCTGGACAGTAAATTACATCAGCGTTGATGCCACATTTGCAGCATTCAATAGCCGAAATAAGAAAAAAAAATTGAATATATACGAGTATGTTAGTTTTGGTCTATAATATCAGGTAATCTTGCGCCATTTGCCGGCAGGTACTTCAATTTAACTATTCTAATACAGGAGATTAGAATTTCTATAAATAATTTAACATAACCCACTAAACAAACGTTCAATTTCAGTCTGCCGTCCGTCCGTACGCCTTGTTCGTCTGTCCATTGACGTGATGCATGGGCACATCTACTCTTATTCTCCAGCTACATATATAGATTTATCAATATAACATATGTCCCTCGGAAACCAAGACTAATTGAGAATACACCAGACACAAAAACTCTACCAACGTGCAAATTACGCTTCGTCATTCGTCAAAATGAACATTATTAAAAAAGCTCTTATTGGTTCATAAGATCCCGTCCACACTCTCACTTGGACAATATTACGTCCTTACATACTACCAAAGCTTGTGAAATGGAAGTAGTCGATTTTACCACCGAAAAATATGCCGGATCAACGGTTGCTAGGTGTTGGCTTTTTGGCGTGCCTTCAATCTAGGTCTGACAGCGGACAACAGTGGCAGGAAATGTACGAAATGTGGAGACTGTGGAACACATAATCTGTGAGTGATAGTGAAGAAATCGCATATTATGATCCATCACCTCAAAATAACACAATTCTTAAGACAATTTGATATTATATTAATTTCCTTGTCGCCTAAGACGTCTTGAATTCCTTAGGGGGTATTTTATATATTTACTTCCATTTCGAATCAACTCCAAAACAATGCACTCTTCAGAGAAGCATTTTTGATTCCAAGTTTTTTTGGCCACTTGACCAGACTTCTGATGGGTGTCACATAGTTAAAGTTTTTTTTGAAGAATTTATGACCTCAAAAAGCACTTTATTTTATCTTTGCACTCTTAAAAAAAGTTATATCAAAACCAGAAAACAATATTTAAACTAAATATATGAATTTTGAATTTTTTCCCTGTCTCGTTTTCCATGGGACAACGCTTTTACGCAAACATCTCAGTAAAATATTGCTTGAAGCTAAACTAAAGAAACTCTTACAACTTCTGAATATTTTCCAAGCGGCAGCTTCTTATGCTTTTCCCATTATACATATGTACATACATATATGTATACATATGTATGCAGATACATATGCACGTATGCATGTATATTTGTTCATTTGTATGGTTGTGCTAAGTCTATTCATAGATTCGTCGTCTTAGCTGCATCAGCTGCAGGCCACACAAAAGCAACTTGGCAGATTTCTTCCTCTCCTTCTACTTCTTCTTTCTTCTTCCTCTACGTCATTATCGACTTTCAAGCGATGATATTCATAATGTTTGGCTTCAAGGTGCAGCACTTTTAGAAGAACTGAATTCTATGAGACACACATATCAACATTCATTTAAGCTCACATAGAGTTAACCTGCAACTTGCTATTGTACATATGTACTATATACATATATCTATGTACATACATATATATGATTGGATATTATTACCTTTATGCTCAAATTTTAAAATTGTTATTATAAACGTTACGAGCGAGACGAAGCTCATGATATTGAAGTGCGGTTGTGAGTGTCTTAACTTCGTATTCTGCATATATGCATGTATGTTTGTTCACTCGTATATGAGTGTGTGCATGTGCCATTGTAGGGGTATCATATCAACAATTGTGGCATAAATTGTTTATCCACAGTTCCTCCTCTATTTGATTGCTTTCAGCACACATTCATGTACACGTATGCATTCATGTATGCTTGTTTGTGTGTACATATGTGTTTTTGTTTAAATAAAATCTACAAAGCGGTGGCGTAGAATCGATTGAATTTTGTTCAACATAAAACGTGACCTCATGTTATTGCTCTATGCACTGTTTTATAGTTTGTATGTATGTGTGTGTTTTATTTATTTTTATTTTATTTGGCATTTTTTTATTATTTCAAATATTTACATTTGCAAATAGTACTGAGCAATGTGACGTCATGAGTTTAAAAAGAATGTGTGTGCAAGAATTATATTTTTGTTTTGCTGATTCTGGTACTGAGCTTTGGTATATAGAAATTCGACCGTTAAACACACTCTGACTTCATAAATCATTGAAAGATTGTCAAAATATGGCAATAGCCTTGAATGATGTTTGTTTACGTACAGATATGTTGCTCAAGATTTTTAACAAATAAATCAGCCTCGGCTTGAGTAAGTCCGATAGGCTGACTCAGAAGTAGCAAAATCAAATTTTTGAAGCTTTAGAAATTCTCTACGATAAAATAGTCGGTTAGAAGGGCGTAGGGACTTTTTTCCATATTTGGCGTCGTGGAGTTGAGCCGCCGTCTTACCAACTATGCATACTGAAATGGAAAGACCGTTGAATTGATACTTTCGTGCTCTTTAATTCAAACGATTTTCTTTTTCATCGATTTCAAATGACTCAGGCGCCAAAAAACCTTTTCCGATAAAAACTACTTTTTCCTGCTCCTGCTGTGCCCCAAATTTGAATTTAGTAATAAATCGGCCAGTCTCTTTGATCCATTCAGCAAACTTTTGTACAGATATTGGGCACTGTTCAAGAGTTCGCTCTTCATTGAGAGTTTTGGCAGCAACTTAAATTTTTTGTTATGCTCTACAAAGTGAGAAGTGTTTTACAACTCAGGAAGCAATCTTCGGTCGAATCGAACACTTCCTTATTCTCCTGTACACGTTGGTGTGCGTCTTCCAACCAAAGACTCTGACATTTGTTTTTTATTATATTAAGGAGCCTTTTAGTTCATGCAAAAAATATAGATGAAGGGATTGACACACCTTGGCTAATTGCGACGGTAGAATAAGCCCTTCGCAAGAGGCAAATATAATCTAATAGTTCCCGCGACAATCGGCTGTTTATATCAGGTTATGGACTACTTTGGGGAATATTATTGCGATTACAACAACAGCAACAACAAACACAACAAAATCGAAAATAGTGTTTCCTCCCATTCAAAGATGAAAACCAATCTGAAAGCGAGTCTAAGACTCTACAAACGGTAGCTATTGCAACAGCTTTGCTACAAAAACTGACAAAAAATATATTTAAATTGTAAAAAGCAAATTTTATATTCTAAAGTACAGTTAATTTTAATTCGTTTCATATAAGGAGATTGACCTTGAAGTTCCAGAATATACATGTAAGAGTGTCCTGCAACTTGCGATTGGTGCCTTTACATTATTCCAACAAATGGAGGGATCTACAGCTATGGCGGTCGTAATATAAATAAAAAATCTTAAGAATTAAACAACACCAGCGCTTTATGCGACGGAAGCAACTTGGGATATGTCAAACGTCTTTTTTGCGACCTTGGTATAGACGTGAAGATCCTGGTGCTAAGTGGAATCTATACCCCTCTAAAACGTGCAAGAGCGACAAATTTGTTCTTATTTCAAGTGGGTAGGGGTGGTTTGTTCGCAGCACTCAGTTGAATAACCAGAATCATTGTATACGCTCACTGAAAACGGTGTCAAACTGACCGCGCTCAATAAGGTTTTGTTCGTAATATTATATTACTCGTCACACGTATTTCTCATTCCTAGTAGCCTGTCGTTATGTCCCTGTGTGAGTAATAAATGCTTCGCCTCCGTTGTTCACGCTCTCCCTGCTTTACAGGAGGCAATCGAACACATAAGGTACATCATGCCAGAGAAATATTTGCAGAAGCCAAACCATTTTGATTTGCAATGAATGTAGTTTTGATGAAGAAACTGATCCTGATGAAAACTAGATCTAAGTTAAAGTGTGCTTTGAAGCTTTCATGTCTCTAAATTGTTTTATAATACAAAGAATAATTGACCAAGCACAACCAAAATATATCTGAATAGTAAAAAAATAAACTTTTATTAATTAATTAGTGTTTTGTTTCTTTAATATATTCCACAGGTCTTTCCGATTGCGCGCGACCACTTTTAGGTTAAAAGAGGAGCTTAAGCAAAGCAAGGAAAGCTCTTACTAATTCCAACACCTTCTACACTTCGTCAAAAGGGGAGTCAATAAATCTACCGGAACTGTAAAACACACTTTACTTAATGAAAGTTTCGACAAAGCACACCAGACGATGAGAGCTTCATCGACGCTGCGTTATGAATTGGCTCGATTCAAACATTAGCAGGACAACAAACACGGGAACAAAGATAATGTATTCTGAAGAAGATGAACTAAATACTAACGACAAAATACTTTAGTCTCCGCCAGAACTAAACAGCAGATCCCCTCTTTCATTAGACAGGCCACTTTTCGCGTAGCTTATACCAGCTGTCGTAAATATTGTAGTAAATACATACCACAAAAGCAATAACAAACAAACATATGTGTACATATATGTAGATGCGTATATGAAAGCACTGATTAATTCGTGATATGCGTGAGTTCATCGCATAAGAAACCGTTATACGTTAATAATTTTTCACTCCAACGAACAGTGGAAGATCACGAGGATGCCAGCGCTTCGAATGTAGATCATGCCTAACAACTGCCTTAGCAGCATTGATAATGAGAGTTTGCGCTACGCTAGAAGACATACACAAAAATATATATCATCTTCTTCGGATATTCATTATTATCGCGACAGCATCGCAATCAACGTCAAATTGTATTTTCGTCAAACGAGGTGCACCCGTGCGCCTCCCATTGACTTTTTCCGCGGTTGTTTTTGTTGTTGTTGTTGTTTGAAATTAAATGTTGCCACAACACGATTACACTCATTTCTTTTATGCGCGCTTCAGTGTTCTACTTTACCGTTTAACGTCACCGAAATGGACCACCCAGCAGAATGATTAGAATTAGAATTAATAATTCCATCGCCAAATGCCAACAAAATGTGGCAAGCAGATTGAAGCTTACACAAAACTGCCACCACGGTCTGTGGCCATTGGCTCTACAGACTAAAGGCTGTAATTTATGTGGCAAGTAATAATGGAGTGAGATAGCGCTACTGTTGCTGCTTGCAGCGGAAACAGTAAATTACACCTTAAGGCTGAAAGCAGCGAAATTGTGGCAAGTAGCGGTAAGTGTGTCAAAA